GAGCCAAGTAGAGGGGGGGGAGGGGGGGTGGGGGTGGTAATCAAAAAAAAAAAATAAAACAAACTTGTATAGCGTACACACATAATTTTTGTGCAAAATTTCTCTCTAATTCTTATAGTCCCTTAGATCCTGGTGTTCATACGGACGAACAGATGGACAGACAGGCAGACAGGGCTAGATCGACTCGTCTCGTCACGCTGATCAAGAATATATATACTTTGTGGGGTCTACTCTGCATCAAAAATCTACGTTTCTGCTCGTGATCATCTTCAGTCAGTTTTAATTCCATATGTTTCTTAATTTTCTGAAATGCGTTTATAAAAGATGTAAATTTATAGTTATACATTAATTATTTCGGTTTTTTCGATTTTTTGTGCCCTTTTGCAATTATAAGTATTCATACAAAACTAAAGAAACAGCAGCAGCCAGTATTTCATTGTTATACCCTGTACCCAAAGGGTACAAGGGTATATTAGTTTTGTGCGAGTGCACATGGAACACACAGAAGGAGGCTTGGTAGACCCCACAAAGTATATATATTCTTGATCAGCATGACAAGCCGAGTCGATATAGCCATGTCCGTCTGTCTGTCCGTCTGTCTGTCTGTCTGTATGAACGCAAGGATCTCCGAAAGTATAAGAGCTAGAATAACCAAACTTGGTATACAGATTCTCCTGAGACCGAGAAAGGACGAGTTTGTTAATTTTTTCTGATCCGCCCCCCCACTCCCCCCCTATTACTGATTTTCTATAACTAATTCCCGTAATTCTTGGAATTTTGAGCTAAAATTTGGTAGTCACATTAGGTTAGTAATTATATATCCGTATACCAAGTTTCATTATGATAAAATGATCGAAAAGAAAGTTATAGCCATATAACCAGGCCCAATGCACACATACATACATATGTACAAGTACACAAACACGCATAAGGCACGATTCTGATGTAAATGTAAATGTATGTATGCATGCATGGAATATTTTATATTTAATTAGTTAATATTTAGTTAATTAATTAAATTAATTTAGTTAATTAATTTAATTTAATTAATTAATTAATTAAATTACTTTTTATGGGGTGGTAAAGGGTATTTAAGAGTTGAGCCTGCTCGACTTTAGCATTCCTTTCTTGTTTTCAAATAATTGGTCAACCACAAAAAGGTTTTCATATTTTGTAAAGTTGTTTAATTACTTGTAATTTAAATAGCTTTCATATGAGTTTTTAATCAATTTTGTTTTCCATATGTGGCTTCTTTTTGTTTAATTTTTAAAGCGATATATTTTTAAACAATAGCTGTAATTATAAATAAAACAACTAATCAAAAAAAAGGGCACATATGACAAGCAAAATTGATGAAAAATGCATATGACAGCTATTAAAGTTACATAATTAAAAAAGGTCACAACATATGAACGCATTTTTGTGGTTGAACTTTAAAATATGTCTAGTAAAACGTGCCACTTCAAATAAGCAATTTGTTGCAACCACAATTCATATGGCTTCTACGAATGGCCTTTTGCACGTATGCAAATGATTTCAAAATAATACCTTAAAACTGTTCATACTAATCTGTACAATAGTGTTCCCTTTAAGAATGTTGTAGCTTTTCTGAAGCTTTTAATGCTGAGGGAAAAATACTTAAGTAAAATTCGTAGTAACAAATTAAATTGATATACGAAACTGTAGCTATTAAATTAATACTTTTAAGCATACATAAATGGCGAAATGTTCATTCGAACAGCATTAGGTGAACAATTTAAAAAAAATCCTCAATCATCATCCATGAACCTCTTGTATATATTTTTTGTTGCCAAAATTTTTGGGACACCCTTTAACTATGTGTGTATGCTCCGATTCTGTTTGTATGACACTTTGCTGGTTCTTCTTGTCAGCCAAATGAAGCAAACCTTGCTGTCTGGCAGTTGGCAAACACTAAAGGCAGCCGCATTCTACGAGTACTTGTAGTTTGTTTGCGGCCAAGTGTGAGTTGTGTGAGTTGTTTTCGTTGTAACTGTTGTTGTTGCAGGTTTATTGCTACCAGTTAGTTAAAGTGCTTTCTAACGTACAAACAAACGCACACACACAGACACCCAGACACATGCATGCATAAGTTAATAACAATCATTATTATTGACTTTGGCAAGCTGCTGTTGCTGTTTTCAGCTTCCATGTTATGTTTCATTCGCGCGGTACCCTTTTGCCTCTCAATTTAGAAACACACAACCATCCAAAAACACCAACGCGCTCACGCACACTCCCACACACACACACAGACACTATCAAATTGACAACTACATGCTACACTTGTCTCCCATCCATGAGTTAGGATAGAAGCAATGCTTGCTGTAGCATTCAAGGCTTCCAAAGAACGTCAACCAAGTAGCAAGAACGATGACGGCAACGATGATGATGATGATGAAGAAGACTCCACCAACTTTTTCATTAAGGCATTGAACGGCTGTTGTGGTACTGTAGTAGTAGCGGAGAGGAGACTTCGTTTGGTTGGTTAAAAGCGTTGTAATTTGATTGAATTAACGTTGATTAAACGTATTTAGCTGTTGGCAAATTATGAATGTGTTAAATTGAGAACTGACTTAATTGTCTTGTCTGTGTGGGCTAACCATGCCACTATCGTCATATCCTTCTTTCTTCTGCTCTCTGCCTTTCGAAAACAACAGCGCATGTACGTCAAGCGGGTTAGTTATGGTTTGGAATTCACAAAATTAACTTACACACACCTACATACAAGTATACACACATGTACTGGTATACACGTATATTATATACTTACTATGACTTTGATTTCACTTTTTTGCTACTTTATTATTCAGCACGCTATTCCCAGAACTGCGTGCGGTTTATAATGTTGCTCATACGACATGTTGGTAGATGCGACCTTACTATATATGCTGGATATACATTGAGCACAAACTGAAGCTTTGCAATTAAATGACAATTGTAGCAGAAGAAATTAAATGAATTGTGAAATCTTCTTACTTGTATTATTAGAGTAAAGCAACATTGTTTTTAGAATTTAAAAAATTAGGTTGAAGTTGTCTTAAAATGTTAAGTGTTTTTTTTTATATAAAAATACCTAAAAATTTAAATTTTAATACAAAAATTTGTTTTTTGCTGTTTCTAAAATTTCCACTGTTACTTATTGAAAATCAGTCAATCTATGTAAAAGAGTTTTTTATTGATTTATATAAATAATACCAAATCAATTAAATTCCAACAAGTGCTTACATTTTTTATTTATTTCAATTATTTTTTAAATTCTCATTGATATAGAATGGAAGGAATGAGGTCATTTCAATTGAATTCAGAAAAAGACAAAAACTACACTTAGTTCTACGAATAAAACTTATTTCTATGAAAGAGGATATAGTATAAAGGGAATAGCAGAATGAGGCGTGGCAGATCCAATGCTATGGGTACACATGGAGAGCAGCATGGAGAGCTAAATCGATCAAGTCCATCTACTTGTTCGTTTACCACTCTATTTAGCTCTCTTTTTACTATTTAAGTTTTATTTGAGCTATGAATTGCTTTCGCATCCGCCTTGATCGCCCGTTCTGACAAATATTGCTTTTTGCTTCTGCTCTCTGACTTGAAAATATCGCCGAGGAGAGTTCGAAAATTCTCTTTTTTTTTTTTTTTTAATTAACAAACAATAATCGACACTATTGTACACATATATTATAATATAATATATTACAATAAATATATATAATAATATAACGTTATAATTTCAACTTAAAAGAAAAGAAAGCCTCAAAACAATAATGTCTGTTGGCGTGGGGCGATGGGGATGAAAATCCCAAAAACAAGGAAAAATGGTGGCACTTCACTTTTTTTACCGCTTCCGAAACATTAGAGGAATTTTGTTAGCCAGTTGGCCAGCTATGCCCCGATTCACAGCCAAATATAGTCATACTATAGACTTAACAAACTAAAAAAAGAGTAAGTAGAAGAGAAAACTTATTTCTACTTAAAAGCTGAAGTAAGTAGCAAAAAAGAAAAGGAAAATCTCTAACCCAGTGGCGGAAAATTTGATTGCCAGTTCGGCTAGCTATTCTGAGGGGTTAAGCAAATGGCACCAACGTATATAAACCTAAACGAAGCCAAAGTTTGAAAAAATTAAAAGTTAGTCAAAAAATACGTCTCTATTTTAATGAAGGGTACTTATTGATCAGAACTTGTTCATCCTTCACTTTGTTACAAACTCATGTATCACACAAAAGATTTCCCTATATGTAAACAATTTTTTTATCACTTAATTTTATTTTATGTTGTGATTAGAAGATTGTAGGTAGATTAAATACCAAAAAACTTTAAACATGCATTTTGTATTATACCTGTTTTATAATACAATTGATATACAAACAACAAATTAGCAAAATATCAAATCAATACCCGTTTCCTTGGTTTAATTAAGCCATGCATTAACCAAGCGGACATCTGCCTCAACATGCAAGTCACCAAGCTAAGGTCATGCCCTAGATCTTCAGTCTGTCCGAGTTGAAGTGCTGGAGTATAAACTCCCTACTTACTTGTACATTGTATGTACATCTATGAGTGACCGACCACAATGACAATTTCTATCGTTAATAGTCTGTGGAGCGCATTAGCGCTCACTGCCCCGAATGCTTTCTCTTTTGCGGCCCATAAAAAAAGGCGAATGCGAATGAGCCAGTATTAGATATGGTAAGTGGGACGGCCACTGACCGCAACGAGTTGCTTTTGCTGTTGCTGTCACTGGCACCGCCGGGTGGTGGCTCATTAAAATGTTCAACAGCGCCATATAATAATTACTTGGACATCATTTTTTTCCCTCTCCGCCAATCTGCCACTCCACAGAGTTAGTTGCACAGCTTTTACAATCGCGTTTTTGTTTGAGCGAGTTGGCCAAGCATGAAATTATCGCCCGGGTCTGGCAAAACTTTATACAATATATCGTGCATAAAATATCTTTGACTTTGTTTCTACTTACATTGCAGACGCAAGGACAGTAGCGCCCTGCAACGGTCGGCCAGCATTGATTCCTTTGCCGAGATTGTGTTCAGCGACTCGCCCCGACCCTCTCTAGACATCCCCCGCTCGGTGGCCCCCTTCAGCAAAAGGCCTTCAGCGAGCAGCCTCTACTCGAATTGCAGCACCACATCGGCTCAGCTGAATGTCAATTATGGCGATATGGCGACAGTGGGGCAGGCGGGCATGGGCGTTGGTGCGGCAGCGGGCGCGGGACTACAGGCCTGTGGCACGGGCAGCAGCAGTGCGGGCAACAGTCGACGCGAGAGCCTGCTGAGTCCATCGTCGACGCGACGCAATAAACTGACCAGAATTATTAATGGTGAGTGCAAGTGGCAATGTGTTGGGGCAAGTGGGCGACCAACCTATTGCCTATTTAGTTACATACAATGCACAAAATAAAGGGCACAAGCGACGCGTGCGTGCCCTCGTGTCACGCCATATTGCAAACACTGCAAGAAAAATAATGCCATGATGCGCCTTCTTTATTTCCACCTCTCCAAACATTTTCCTTCATTTTAATTTTAAAATGGTAAATATGCTTTCCTTCAGTTTAATATATTTCATATTTTTTTTTGTTGTAGTTCTTTTTTTTATTATTTTCCATATGAAAAGTTTGTCATTAACCAGGAAATCTTAGTATTATGGCTAATAAATTTGGTGATTAAAGTCGTCAACACTCTGCCATTCACCAGAAAAAAGTTGGGAACAAGAACAAATGAAATCAGGAAATTTATGTTTGTTATGTTTGGGTAAGGCATAACAATATATATTTTATTCAAATCGTTGAAAATAAATTAATAAGTTTGATTTGATTGGAATTCACTAGTCAATATCGATTTGTGAATTTCGATTGCTATACGGTTATGATTTTTGATTGACCAAAATATTGTTGTTTTTGTAAAATCTCATAAAATAGAAGTAATCACACTTTTAATGCGATTTCTCCTTTACTGTGTTCATTAGGTTAAATCAGTTATCATTGATCACTAATCGTAAATTTAAATTACCTGGAGAGTGTTCCAAGCCCCAATGCTTATAATGTGGAAACCTAATATATTTTCCACACTTAAACTCATATTATGATGTAACGTTTACATGATAGATGGAATACATAATGACAAATGTTTAAAGAAAAGGGTTTTATAAAAATTGTTCCTTATGAAAAATAAAAGGACAAATTTTGTATCTTACCCTTACGATATTCCGTAATTGACTTAGCTTGTTGTATTTTCGCCGGGTGTATGATGTGAGTGAATGAGTTCTGTTCAGAAGCAAAACTGTGACTAGTGACAGCCGGCGACTAATAAATAAATGGAATAAACGACACGCAGCGACTTAATCAGTGGCTTATTTATTTTGCAAGTCACTGTGCAGCCTGATTGAAATTCAATGGTGCACTCTGGGCGCTTGTCCCGACGCTCTGCATTAACTGGATTAGTAGTTTTGGGTGCTGGGCACGGCCCTGATTTGAATTCAAGTGGCGTTGCCGGCGACAAGAGATTGGCTGCTGCATCAGCATTAGCGCGATATGTTGCTTATTGCTTATCTCCAAAGCCAACTTCCGCGGAAAAACGTTTTGTCCATGCCTGGGGATCTACTCGCACAAGCTGAACTTGGTGCGGCAACCAAGAAAGCGCTTGATATCCGAGCTAGAGAAAATAAACTGAAATGAAGCGTTCAATGCCAGTGTTTATCGCGCTTTTTATGCTTCTGCAAACTGTCACCGACACGACGCACAGTGGTTACAAATTCTGTGTACCTAAGGGTTAATCAAAATCAGCAGATGAGTATCTTTGTCAAAAACGTACTCGTAATTGAATACTGAAGTAAATTGAAAGACAAGTTTGAAGTGAGGCTTTAGAATATAATAAATTAAAACTAAACTAATAGAATAATAATTATTTTCTCCTTTGAATAATGTTAGAAATACTATCAGGTCTTCGTTCTGTCCCCGTTTAAAATTAGAGAAATTGCAATTTTGAACATTTAATTTTCACACTGTTGGTTAAATGTTTTTCTAAAGGGAAAATGTTCATTATGTTTTCTATTATATGGAATTAGTTGCGCGATGTTTAAATTAGCGACTTTCTTTGGTTGTTTGAAGACGAATTTTAAATATTGCCAGGCTTTATTTCAAAGCAACGAATAAGATTCTTTCTATGCATACTTTTACTGTTATTTTTCCCACTGTAAGTGTGCGCCGCTGCTATTGAGAGAGTGCATGCGCGTCTAACTGTGAAGTCGCCGTCGACCATTACTATCAGCATTAACAACTACAATGAAGATCGTTGGTGTGGTTGAAACGTCTTTAACGTTACGTTACGTTACGTTTAACCAGTAACGTATGTACAGACTCGTACGTTAAAGCAAGCGACAGCAGTCGCTCATTGACTTGCTCAGTGCTGCAAAAACAACTTCGGTTTCAGTTGACGATCGACTTTTGCTGAAAGAGCAGCGCGTAGCGCGAAGTGGCCCTCAAGAAAGAAAAAACAAATCGCGTCGGCGTTCGTTTGCAGCCTATAGGAAAACCAAGCCAATTGAGGCAGTTAAGCTAAATTGCCCAACAAATTATATGTGCTTTGTGTGTGGGTGTTCTGCATTGAAATGAATATAATAAATAAATAAAAGAAGGAAAACTATTAGCAAATATTCGCCAACTTGTATGAAATGTTAACATCGTCTTAAAAAAGTCAATAAAACGCGCTTCGTTTCTTGGTAACAATACCATATTGTGTTGGTGTGTGTGTGTTAGTTCGTCGTCTTCAACTACCTGTTTGCGGCTGCGCATGTATGCGAGCAAGAGAGCGTGAGTTTTTGTACCTGTGAGCAGCCAGGTGAGCGTGCGCAGCAACAACAAACACGAAAATGCCAAAGTGCAGTGCGTGTGTGTGTGGGAGAGAAGGAGAGAGCGCGCGCTAAGAGAGAGCACTTGTAGCTCTACTGTGAGTTGTTATTGTTGTTGTTGCTGCTGCTGCTGCTACTGCTTATAAACGCGTTGCTTTCGGTTAAAAAGTACAATAACTGCCATAAATAAAAAATAAAACAAAAGCATTACGTCGAACGAAGGGCATGAAAATTTTGCTGCACACCTAATTAAATATTACACTTGTTTAAAATTGCAATTTGCAACTGGTACGCTGACAGGAATAGCAACAAAAGCTGATTGCACGTCCAAATGCCGTTATTATTCGCACGCGCAGCAGCAACAACTACAACAACAGCTGCATCAGCAAAGCAAAGGGAAAGTAAACTTTTGCTTTTTTGTTGCTTTGTGCGCGTTATAAGAAAAAATAAGCTGCTGCAACTAATTTACTCACGTGTCTGTCAAAAGCAACGTTGCACTTGCCTGCCTCTGCCACTATGCTTCGCTAACACCACTTCTAGCAGAGGCAGATCCAGAGTCGGGGCAGCGGCAGCAACAATTTGCAACATAATTACCCCGCATCGAGCCACAAGCTTTGTCTCTGTTGCTCTCACAAACTTTACGCTAAATGTTGTTATTTTTTTTTTCTCTGTTATTCGCCTCTTAACTTTTTGTTATACGTTTGCAGTTTGTTGCTGTTGTAGACATTTTCGCATTAAAGTTGTCTGTGCTGCAATTTTAAGCACGCCACACAATGAACAGGTAAGCATTGTGCACACGCACACATACAAACGTACAAGCATATTTACAAGCCATCTTCTACAACTCGTCGCTCTTTTTTTATCATTTAAGTGCAAGAAAAAAATGAAACTATTGCAACATTTTTTTTTTTTGACCTCCCATCAACTTGCAACATGTTAACGTGTTTCAAAAGTTTATTCACATTTAAAGAAAGCTGCAGCAGAAATTGCAAAAAGGTTTCATTATTTGCAGTTATTTATGTATATGCGCTTTCTTTGCTTTTTTTCTTTACCGGTTTTTGTTTTTAGTTTTGTGAAATTCAACATTTGTGCTGCTTGTCATGGCCATTTTTAGTGGTCATCTTAAGACATTGTTGTTGCTGTTGTTGCTACTGTTGTTTCTTCTGAGCGGTGGTGCAGCAGACAGCTGAAAATTGGCACAGCACGCAATGCTACACTGAAACAAAAAATGGCAACAGTCAAGCAGTCAAAGTTTTTGTATTACTATAAATAATATCATCTTAATGGGTATCTGGGGCAATTAGAAACTGAACGTGAATTTTCCCTTAAACTCATAGTATAGTATAACTGATATATATTAGTATATCATTAATATTTTACATTAACTCCAATTTATTGTCTATGTCAGGCAATTAAATGGTCCTTACGGTTTGTGATTTTTTATCAGTTTATTAAATATATAGTGTGGATACTTTTTAATGTTTGTTGATCAGAATATTTTGAAAATATTTAAATATAATTTATATATTTTCTTTACTATTTATCGGTCTAACAAAGGTCGGTTCAATTGGCTTTGTTTGGCTTTTCTCTCTTTTATTAAAATGCCTTCATTATTATCGGTTTCCTAGATTTTGCATCTCTAATTAATTAGTACTTTATTTATGTTTTTTTTCATTCTTCAATGAACAAAATTTGTTTAGTAGTTCTTTTAGTTATAACCTTGCTCAGAATATAGAGAATAGAGTTGGGACATATAGATTTACATACAAAAATATGCGCCTGTGCTTTATATTTATGAAAAGGTTCACAACTTAAAGAAGCAAGGTTCTTAGATTTGTTAGTGTCTAGGTTCTTGATAAATATGATCATGATATGAGATATGCCTCTATTTGGAAGGACAGATAGATCTATTGACAGCACAATCTTCTCATGCTTCTACCTATCCATAATACTTTCTCGAATCACAAACCTATTTCCCATACTGAAAACCTCTAAAATTTATGTATAATGAAAAATTCTAAAGGAATGATCAGATTAAGATTTTCGTAATCTCTGAATTCTGAACATGAATTTGCGAAAAGCCTGTTTTCTTGTACATATTGTTTTGCCGGTGTACCACAAAATCAGCAAAAGGAATATAAAGGGCTAAAACTAGCTGCTGACCAGCATTAATATTGGAGCGTTTTTTTTTCGCTGCCAGACACATCGCTTGTTTAGCAAAACAATTCCGCAAATGCCGCTACTTGAAATATGAGCTTAGAGCGTGGAGCGTGGACCGTGGACCTCGTGGTGTATTATATATATGTGTATGTACTTTATTTATTTTTCGCTTACTTGCGGGACCAAAAAGACGAAAAATGAAGAAAACTTTGTCGTTACCGAAAACTTTAGCACAGAGCAAAGTTTAGTTTTGTAAACACGGCAAGCCAACGGTTGCCACAAATGCCCCCGCCCTAGCTACAAACCTAGTTATAT